GGGGGCTGCTCCCGACCTGCAGGTGAGCGATACCGGCTAGGGGACAGCAGATAGCATCAGGGACCATGCCAACAGGACCAATCCCTGTGCCTCCCCTCAGGTGGTGGTCCCCTCCCCTATGAACATCAGCAGACTCTGCTAAATGCCAATCGGGGGATCCAGAGGTCTATCTCTAGGTGGTGGGCGCCAAGTATGGGCCTCGCTGCACTGCTCTTGAAATGTGCAAAACGAGAGTGAATCTTCCGCAAGAATATGGAAAAATGCACCGCCATGATTTTTGTCTTTTGTGCATTTCAAGAGTAGTGCAGCGAGGCCCTATGTGTTTGCTTTTTTTGGGTAAAAACAAGTTTTTAGTTGGTTCCAAAAAAAAAAAAAAGTTTTTAGTTGGTTCTTATGTCTCTTTCGAGATGAATAAATAGAATAGAAAACTCAATAAGTAAATAAAATACAATCTTTTTTTTTTTTTTTACCAGAAAAAGGAGTATATCATATAAGGGGTAACTTCGGCGCAGTCACGAAAACAGAATGTAATTGCACTTCAGGCAATCCCGCGAATACAACACACCCCCACGTGACCCCACCGGACCCGAAACGTAGGTCGTATGCATTCAGCATTACTGGCCCTTTTGCCTCAAGTGCAATTACAAACTCAAACCCTGACTGCGCCGTAGTTTTCTCATCATATAATCACAGGCTGGGAAAAGGGCCCAGCGTCCCTCACATCAATAACCACGGCCCGCAGGGATGAGCCAGGCTCTCCGGCCTGGATTAACCCCACGGCGGCTGAGCACCCGTCAGCCTGCAACGCCACACCCTAATTAACTGTAATTAACATACATACCCTAATTAACAGTAATGAACATCACCAACCCTAACACTAAAACACAAACCAACTGAAACCACCAAAAGAAAATGGCAACAGGAAATCCACACCCCAACCCTAAACACTCAAAGAATCAACAGAAGCAATCAACGGACAAATGAACCCTAACTATAACTAACTCACAGGCAAAGAAACAATAAACAAATACCCACTTCACACACCAACGTGAACTAATTAACCCTCATAATCTTTACAAGTGAAAAGAACCATGCAAGGGTGAAGAGTTCACAAGCTACACCACACCCGAAGTAGGAGCATCAGCAACACAAAGCTATGCCGATCGCAGCTTGAAGCCCGTTGTCAACGACGGTGGGTGATACCGGTCACAGCTAAGCTGTAGTGTCGCTCTCCCGGAAGCCGGCGCTCGTCGATGCACACGCGTCTCTCATCTCCCCGTGATTCGTCAGCTTCTGACTCCATATCAAAGCCAGGGGAACAGTCCCCGACAGGTTTTGCGTACTGGTATGGGCGACGCCCAGATCCCGCCCTTCGGACCACCACACATCTCCTCCATCCTCCCGTAGTCTCTCCAGGAATGCCAGCATACACCGACCGGGACCAAGATATGGCAGAAGCATTTCAGTGCTTCCTCAAGGCAGTCCCCACCCTGGGCCCACGCGCCTCTTCTCCCCCACTGTGCGTCCGTCAACCCAACCCTAGGTTTTGGCACCGCGCAGCACTGATCGCAGCTGCACGAACACGATCCGACGATCTACCCAAAATGAAATGAAGTCCCAAAGACCTATGATGGTAATAAATATGGTTAACCCGATTAACATAACAAAAGCATAATGGTACACCATCGCAAGTGGAACAAATCCCAAGAAGACCAAATGGTTACACTCAGGGCGTACTGGTAGGACTATTCCAACTTAGCTGTGGACATAAATGCGTCCAGATACATACGGGGCGGACAGAAAATGCAGTCAGATACATGCAAGAATGTCCCTCACACTACAGGAAAGCTTTGAGAAACTTATAGGACTGATGTGGAAGGTGTTTTTTTTTTCTTTTTTAACTATATATCGTCAAATAGAACTGCCTACGGTAAACCGTAGGCAGAGAGGGAGAAGAGGACAACAAACGAGGGGCTGTGACAAACTGTTTCGTCGGAGTTTCACCGACTCATCAGGAGGCTGAACCCTCAACAGTCTGTAGAATCCCCTCACTGATTACACTGTAAGTGATAATCCACCTTAACCAAAATCAAAGTAGACTATCACTCACCCACACCAGATGGAAAACTCTACAGATTGTCGGTTCACACCCCATCACAAGCCAGCAAAACACCCACGAAACAAAGAAAGGTCTGTCACAGCCAAAAAATACACTCCAGACACGCCGCTGGCACTAGAGGCACAGCATGGCCGCGTAGTGACGGCCCCGATACTCATCTTTCTCTTCTATAGCATATTCTCTTTTTTCTTTTCTTTTCTTTTCCCTTTTTTTTGTATTAGAAGGGCTCAGTGCCCAAGGCAAGTTACATCAGCACAGTAGCCAATAACAAGGACAGCCAGGTTGTCCCGCCCCGCACTACCTAGTCCTCTCTGTAGTATATGTATGTATAGTACGGGGAACACCAAACAACCCGGATCTCTCCCCAGCCCGGGGGGTAGGTTTGCACTACAGGAGTGGTGCGAGAGCAAGGCTGTTCCAGCCCCTCGTCACAGTGATGTGGGGTGGGCAGGCATTGCCGACGGCCGTGCTAGTGCCAAGCACTATGGCCAGTTGCTGCACCTACCCCTACACCCCGTGAACCCCACATTAGTGGTGTCTGATGGCCAATATGGTGGCTGCAAAGCAACCAACAAAATTGGACAAGGTCCTGCCAAAGGCAGAGCTAGTGCCAAGCACTCTGGCCAGTAGCTGCACCTCCCCCTACACCTCCCCAAACCCCACATTAGCGGTGTCTAATGGCCAATAGCTGCATAGCAACCAACAGAATCAGGGGCCCAAGTGATTGTCTCTAGCTGGTAGAACACCAAGCTTGCCCAGGCATGTATGTGAGGACGGTGGGGATTGAACCCATGACCTCCTGAATGCAATTCCTGTGCCTTACCAACTGAGCTAGGTTAGATGGGAGGGTAGTTGAGTGGAGGGGCTTTTCGACGAGGCAGGCCTGGGGGCGTGGCAGAACCTCTTTTTTATGTTTTTAATAAAAACACCAGGCTGGGCGCTAGGAAGGGGGATAAGAACAGCCCTACCTAGCAGCCTTTCTGGTTGCTCCAATCTATTGGTGGGGAGCTGCACCTGCTGGAAAGTGGGTCCACCGTCGCTTGGCCAAACCTAATCATTTGACACGGTTAAGACTATGAGCGGTAGCCTATACACTCCTTTTGGAGGGCAGTTAAATCCCTCCCTTGTAAGAGGGCAATCAATGCTGTTCTCGTTTTAATACTTAGCTCCTTTCATGAAATAGGGACGCTGGGCCTGGTTTTGATCCCATGCAGCTCCCCAACAAAAATTGGAGGCATCTACAATTCGGGCACCTACTATGTTGGAAGGCGTCTGAAGATGCAGAGTGATGGGACCACGATGACAGTCAATCCTTCCTGCTGAAAGCAAGCCGTTAGGGCTCCCTGGACCGTAACGTAGGGAGGCATGGAGTCGTCAACTGTTGTATTCACTTCCCAGCTAGGCTACCAGAGTGGCCCAGGACCACTTGCTGGCCGCAGCAAATAAATAAATAAATAATATATATATCGTCACAAACAGAACTGCCCGGTAAACCGTAGGCAGAGAGAGAGAAGAGGACAACAATATCGTCACAAACAGAACTGCCCGGTGAACCGTAGGCAGAGAGAGAGAAGAGGACATATATATTAATTTATATATATATTATCTGGTAAAGATTTTTTATTTATTTTTAATTAAAAGCAGGCGACATTTCCGGTATGTTCCGGGCACTCCGGCCAGGTTCATACCGAGTAATCTGGTAAAGAATTTGAATGTGACCCTGAGGCAAAAGCAGTTCAGTTTATTTGTCTGCATAGCATTTTTCAGATTTTTTTAAGGCTACCAGAGTGGCCCCGGACCACTTGCCCGGCTGGGCCAAAAAGAATTAAAAAAAACAAATTTTTTTTTTTAACCTTAATTTTTAAATTTGGTAATGATTTTTTTTTTTTTTTAATAACCTTACTCCCTCTTTTTTTATTTAAAAGCCGGGAACCGGGCCCGGCATCCCTTACAAAATGAGGTGGGCCCTCAGTGGGCAAGGCATCACCGGCCAAGCACATCGAGGGCACCACTAGATTTCACCACACAGGCAACTCCACAACCAACTCCACAGCCCCAACAACTGAATAGTCAACGAAAATTATCATCAAAAGCGGCGGGGTTTTCCCGATTGTTTTTTCAACAAGGCCCTTGCCAATTTCAATGTGCACATTGGCGGGGTGTGGTCCTGTTGGGTTGCCTGCTTCACGCACTGGGTGCGCTCTGACTGCGGGCCCTGAGTCTGAAAATAGTTCGAATTTTTTGAATTTCGAATTTTTTGAATTTTTTGAATTTCCTATTTTCGATCATGGGACCGGCCAGGTCCAGTACTGGCGCGTCTGGTCCTCTATTTTTCGTCTTGTTCCGCAGTTCCCGTCGGTTCCTGTTTTTGGTGATACTTTTCGATATAAGTAGTCTTTTCATCTCATAAACATCTATCTCACTAGCGCAGCCCCTGATGATGGCCGGTGTTCTAACGGCCCGGCCGAAACACGTGTAGGGTAGTTCCGTCAGCTGATCTTCAAGTTATGGCGTTTTCGCCTATGGCGTTTTCTCCTATTTTATTTGTGCTTCATTGAATATTTTAATATTGACGCGCTCGGGGGGTTCCTTATCTCTTGTCTATGTCTTCTCTTTTCTTTTCTCTTGTTTCATTTCATGAAGTGCTTGCACTCGCTTGTATGTTGCTGTATCTGCGACATGCACGTAGAGAACCGGCGGGGAGATTGTTCACCCCGTTTGTGTGACTACGCCCTTCCTTCCTTCCTTCATTCCTTCCTTATTTCGGTCCGTTTTAGGTCTGACAGTGTCTGATCGCTTGTTCTGTCTATTTTCCTATTTTCCTTTTTCCTTCTCTTCCATCTGGTCTAAGCTATTGCGCTGTGAGGTCTGTTGTGTCCGGGGGACGCTTGTAGTCCTCTTTAGCGAAGATGTATGGGCCAGGTCTTTGCCACTTCTATCGCCTACCTGGTCATTTCATTCGAGACTGTCCTTTTCGTAACAACCCAAATGGAGCTGAGATGGAGGCGAGCATACAAGGAGCAATGACCAATGGCGGGCAGAACGGTAATCATGGACTACTACCAGCGCCATCATCTTCTTCTCAGGCGGCTGGTACATCGGCTGTATCCAACGCCATCGTACCGTATCAGGCTCCGCAGAACCGTGGCGGAGGCGGAGGTGGTTACTACGGTGGCTATGGGAACAACAACTACCGGAGTAATCAAGGTTCTGGTGGACATTGGTATGCAAAGCCGTGGGGAGGCGGCTACAGAGATGCTAATAACGACGAACGCTTCGATAGGATATACGAGCTTCTCGCAGAACAGGCAGAAGAACGGGAGAAGCGGAAGCAGGAGGAAATTAAGCTCGAGCTATTGGAGGCAGAGAAGAATAAGCTACAGGAGGAGGACGAACGGAATGCTCAAACAAAGAAGGAAAAAGAACAGCATGAGGCGAGACTGGGAAAGATAGTGAGAAACAGCATGAAGGCCATATGTGAATCCGTTTTAGGGAAGAAAGTGGATCTTCCGGATGAAGAGGAGTCACAGGTCGGAAAGCTAAGACGTGAGCTGGAGGAGTTAAAGGCAAGATGTGCGGGAGAAAAAGCGGAGTCTAGCCTAGACGTGCTTCATAGGGAGAAGGAAGCTCTCCAGAAGGCACAAGTCTTGAGTAGTGAAGAGGAGGCCTTAAGAAAGGAGATTGAGGGGTTGAAAGCACGGATCGTCAAAGGTAAATTTGTTGACATCTCCTCTGGAAGTTCGCAGAGTGATGAGATAGCGGCTCTTCGGCTGCAAATCCAAGAGTTGGAGGAAGTCCGTCTGGCGCTTCAGAGCAGGAGCAGCGAGTTGAGCTCCTTGAAGGCCGAGAACTCTTCTCTCAAGAAGGATTTTCTCGATCTTAAAAGCGAGATGGCCGATCTCAAGAATGCTAGCAATAAGAGGACATCGGAGGTTGTCATCGAGAAAAGTCCACCGGTGGAACCCGAGAAAGGCAAACAGAGGATGGTACCCATTGGCGATGCGGTTTACACTCCCAGGGACCTCGAGGCTCTTCAGAAGGCTTACAAGAAGGCGTTGGCAGGAGAAGAACCCGCCAACAAGGAGACAATCTTTCTCAAAGAACGCATGGCATGGCTAGGGGCCCAGGTACTGACCAAGCAACGGTCATCGGTGCGGCGACCATCTTGGAGGAAGACAACGCCGCGAAACCTGAGACCGGCCTTAAGTGCCGTCCAGATCGAGGATGATGAATCGAATAAGGAGGATCATCAGAAAACGAAGGCGATGGGAGATTTGGCGGAAAACGCCGAGGATGAGCAGCTGCAGAAGCTTCAGGAAAAAGAGAGACGGGTTTTGCGCCCTTTGAAGAAAGGCGATATGGTAAAGCTATGTGATGATGAGGGGATAACCTACATTAAGCTGGATCAGTCAAAGGCGGATGTAGCTAAGATTCGGACTCGAAGAAGATTTGCGGAGTGGCTGAAAGATCAAGGCGTCCAGGATGACGAGGAGGATCAGCAGTACGCCACTTCTACCGAGGAGGTCAACGAAGAATGAGGTCGCGCCCCGAGTGTTTCTTCACTATGGAAATGGGCTCTATTTTTTTGAGATTATCGAAAGTCTTTGCTTATTGAGGAGGTGACATATCTTTTTAGATTAAGTGTAATTTTATTGATTATTAATGATCAAATTCGTTGGTGTGTTAAATTTCGTAATTTACTCTTACATTTGCTTAATATCGACTATGATTTTCGAACTTGTCCAGGCCCAATTGTTTATGCTATTATCTCTCCTTGGTATAAGCATGTGTATATTGGTTGCAGCTCTAGATCTGTAAAAACCCGTTGGAAGGAGCATGTCTCTTGTACCCTGTCTTCTAAATTCTTACGTAGGAATAAGAAGTTGTATAGATGGACCCGTCGTGTAGGGATCAATGGCTATATTTCGATTCTGATTTTTTGTACCTCCAAGCACGATCTTCTTGCTTCCAAGAGTTTCTTTATTCGCTCCTTCTCTCCATCACTCAACTCAACCAAGGTCCGTGTCAAAAAGCAGAAGACTCGATATTGCCGACTAGGACGTAAGAAACGATCCCCGCTTAAAAGATGCGCTGCTATCCCACCCCTTGATTCTCCGTCTGCTGCCCCATCTCCACGCACCCCCTTCCTTTTCTCCCTACCTGATGGTCAGAAATTTTCCAACCTTATCTCAACTCCTCGGAATTTGCTTCCTCTTGAATCTAATCCCCATGCCCCGCTTACCATCAAAATCCTGTCTGGAAATTGCCTCCTCGAAAAGTGGAAACTGGTACGACATTTATTTGGCTACTCCACGATTTCCCTTCCCACTCTTCCCATCTCCCTGCTTAAACACTGTCGTTCCTGGTTCCAACCGGGGGCTTCGATTTCCTTCCATTCAATCAAACACCTCTGCTCTAAATCTCTACCTGATAAAAACATCCTCATCCACTTACTGAAATTTTCTCGATCTCGACGAGAGTTTTCCACCTGGAGCCTAAATTCTCTAATCTCCGCCTACAATGTTGTCCGCACAATCTCCATTAAGAAATCTCGAACCTCCCTACGTATCATCCTCTCTCAAGCTTGTCGTAGAAAATTCGATCTTAGTTTATCGGCCCGTTTAGTGGTTAGAATCCGATTTGATGACAACATTATGAAAGCTGCTATTCGTAACGTATGTCGACAAAGTATCCTGAGTTTGAATCTTCCACAATCTTATTTGTTGCTAGTATGCAGGAGACTGCGTATTGTACGGACAAAAAAATAGGCTGTGTCTGACTTGCTGCATAATTTTAGGAAGTATTCCGCTATTACCGATGCAATCTGTACCTGTAAGAAATCCTGTTCCTTTTTTCCACGCGTAGGTGAGCACGTATTATTCAGAATTAATAACATCGATTTTCTCCCAGCTTATTTACGTAACTCTAAGAATTTAGTTCGTCCACATTATGCAGCGCACCCTGACTCCCTTAAGAAACAAATCGTTAATTCTTTGCAGTCGTTTTTTGGGGATGAATTTGAGTTTTCTGTTACCGGTTTGGATAATTGTTTTTCTCGAGGGAATGATGTTGTTGACTATATAGCAATTGAGGAGATTCGACAATGGAAGACGAAGTTTGACGGGCTGGTGCTCTGCCCTTTGGATCATAATACAGGTGATACATTTGTCTGCTGCCCCACAGTATACGCCGGGGGATTGCGTAAGCTCTTTACAGAGAATCCAGGTTTGCAGGTTGTTCATGACGGGGAAGACGTCATTCTCCAGCAATGAGATGTCCCTCTTGGAATGAGATGTCATTGCTGAAGAATGACATCTTTTTTATAAAGCTAAAAAGCTTCAATTACTGGCACCATGGATATCGTCGGGCAAACTAGGTAGATCGTATGTAATTCCCAAACATAAAGATGTTAGCAAGTGGCGTCCCATTTGTCCCTCTTGGAATGAACCCTCTCGAAAATCCGCTAGGATCGTATCTCTTTGTATTAATGAATTTCAGAAAAGAATTTCTCCTAGTAGTCATTTTAATCTACGTAGTACACAATTACTTTCCTCCTTCTTATGTAGGGTTAATAGAACTATTAGTTCTACCGAAGACTTGTTTGCTTCTAGCTTTGACGTAAAAGAGATGTTCTGTCAGTTACCACATTCTTGTATTATATCCGCTGTAGAATGGGCCGTGAGCATTTTTGAGGAAAGAGGTTTCTTCAAATGTCTTGTTTGCATTCAACGAAAAAGAATTGCTCTCAGCCGATCTACTAGATAGGAGACCGGATATCAGTCAGTTAAAGTTTCTTTACTGCTCAGATTTATCGCATTCGATCTAGAGAGAACTTACACAATGGTGATGGGGAAAGTCATCAAGCAAAATCTTGGCATACCTATGGGTAAATCTTCCAGTCCGGCTCTCGTATGTTTACTTTGTGTACACAATGAGTTCACTTTTCTTAGAGGTTTAGGTAACGACGCGCGTTTGGTATTTGGATGCAGGCTCGTTGATGATGTGTCTGTTTTCATTAGATACAAGAAACAACAACTGTCCTATCGGGCCAAAGTCGAGTGCATTATGAACGATTTTGTTACTAACTGTTATGATAAGCACCTTACGTTGGAAAAAACCAGTAGCGGAGGGCAGTGGCCGTATCTTGGGTGTAGAATTTTGGTTGGAAGTGAACCTGTGCGTGTGTTCTGTCAGGCTATGCACAAGAATCAGGACTCTCTTCTCGAAGGTAAGGATATAATTTTTCAGAATCTGCAGGATTACCGCTCCTACTGTAGTAAAAAGCAGAAACTTGCTGTCATATCGTCCTTCTTGCACAGGGCGTATGCGATGGACACCCTGCTGGCCGCAGAAGCTGCTTTTCTGTTTACTCTCAAGGTAGAGCTGAGGTGGCGGGGTTTTCCCGATTGTTTTTTCGACAAGGCCCTTGCTAGTTTCAATGTGCACATTGGCGGGGTGTGGTCCTGTTGGGTTGCCTGCTTCACGCACTGGGTGCGCTCTGACTGCGGGCCCTGAGTTTGAAAATAGTTCGAATTTTTTGAATTTTGAATTTTTTGAATTTTTTGAATTTCCTATTTTCGATCATGGGACCGGCCAGGTCCAGTACTGGCGCATCTGGTCCTCTATTTTTCGTCTTGTTCCACAGTTCCCGTAGGTTCCTGTTTTTGGTGATACTTTTCGATATAAGTAGTATTTTCATCTCATAAACATCTATCTCACTAGCGCAGCCCCTGATGATGGCTGGTGTTCTGACGGCCCGGCCGAAACACGTGTAGGGTAGTTCCGTCAACTGATCTTCAAGTTATGGCGTTTTCGCCTATTTTATTTGTGCTTCATTGAATATTTTAATATTGACGCGCTCGGGGGTTTTCTTATCTCTTGTCTATGTATTCTCTTTTCTTTTCTCTTGTTTCATTTCATGAAGTGCTTGCACTCGCTTGTATGTTGCTCTATCTATCTCCTATTTAAGAAAAAAAAAAGAAAAAAAAAAACACCATGGCAGGTTATGAACCACCGATTCATTGTATCGACGGTCCATGGCCTCCGGAATTATAGGAGAGGCTCAATCTGCTTTCTGCTTTTTTGAATGTGTACTGGTGTGGTTTAAACCACCAGTACTTCCTWAAGTCGTGCCCATAAACAAGCCACAATTTTAGGCAACGTACGGGCCACTACAGGAGCGCCTAAATTCATCCGCGTTGAAAACTTTTCTACTCTATTTCTTTTTCCGCGGCTGGTAGCTGCGCCTAGTATTCGTGGTTTAAGCCACCAGTACACTTGAACCTGGTAGACTTGCACTGTGCGCCACGCTTTGCTGAACCACCAGCTGCACTTTTTCTTTTTTGGCTGGGTGCTAGCAGCCATTGTGGTCCTGTAGCCCCACCAAAGCCTCCAAAAATTTTAGGAGTGAGCCATTCGTTTCCTTAAATGGCCTGGGGCTGCGTAAAGGCATTTTTTTTTTTTTTTTTTTTTTTTTTTTTTTCAACGACCTCGACTGGAGGGGTTGATAAGAGCAGCCACCTCTAGTAACTGCCCCTGGTTCCTCCATCTATTGGGGGGGAGCTGCACCTGCTAAAAAGCGGGTCCAGCGTCCGCCTCAGTGGCGGCTGAGGAGGACCGGCTGGGGTACAATAGGATCATTCACAGGATTAGCACGAGAGCATTCGGATTCCGCCAGCATTGATTATCCCAGGTTACGGAGGGGGACTGGCCCCGCCTGCGCCTGCCGTAAGGCCAGGAAAGTCGATTTTAGGCCAGCGGGGGTGGTGGTGGTTTAAGAAGGCTGTGGAGGCAGCCACCAGTACTTCCAAAAAGTCGTGGTGGTAGTATACAAGCCGCGAGGTGCTGGGATGAACGGGCCTGGGGCGCTGGCCTATATTCATTCAAGTGGACACATCATGGCACTGTGGCCATGGTTCGCGGCATACTAGCCGCGATTTCCCAAAGTTCTGGTGGGTATTAAGTCCGTCAAAATACGGACTCCAGAAACTGCTATATTTTCTGCCTACCGTTTGTGGACTCGGCATTTTTCACATGTGGGATGCCAAAAAATCTTTTAAAAATGTGAAGTAGAATTGTTTTGCCCGAACGACACATGCGGTTGAGTAGAGCACTCGATGGGCGAGGGTGGCCCAAATCTTGACCAACCCCAAGCAAACTTCGAATACTGGCAACGGCGCATTGTGCAGACAGACTTTGGATGCTAAGATTAAGATCCAAAGAGAAAAGGGGAACGGCGCAGATCGGAGCTTTTTTTTTTTTTTTTTTTTTTTTTTTTGAGAAAACAGCCCAAGCACTAATTTCTGCTAAAGCAGCAATCACTTTGTGGGAAAGGAAGTGATCAAGCAATTGCAACCAGGAGGTGGGCTTGGAAGCAGCCATCCCTTGATACTATATTGAATCAGATTGGAGATAGACAAACAAGTAAGACTGCTATAGCTATTGATACTATATTGAATCAGAAGCAGATCGATGGGGAAGGTGCCTCTTAGAAAGAACGGATGGATGAGAATATCACGTACGTAAGAGCAAAGATCAAAGTTGATCAACACTCACACAGTCACCTGGAGGTGACAAGTAGACATGAGAACACAACACACAACAGTTTTCC